CTATCTATCTATCTATCTATCTATCTATCTATCTATCTATCTATCTATCTATCTATCTATCTGATTTCTATAGCCACCCATCTCAGCAAGTGACTCTGGGCAGTGAACAATCGTAAAAGTTGAAGCCCACACATCTTAGAGACGTCAGGGTTGAGAAAGCCCGTGTGCCCCAGTGTGCTGCCTCCATTACTGGGGGGGTAATATCCACACAGCCTTTCCTTCTATGGATTTGTCAAATCCTCTTTTAAAACTGTGCCCACTCCCTGTCGCAAATTCCACACCTTAACAAAGGACCATGATTTTCTTTTTAAACTACCCCAAAGCACCTGCTATTTAGGTTCTTCAGATGTCCTCCCAGCTTCTGATGAACCGAGTGTCAAAACGTCTCCTTTAGGTTCTCCAAAGTTTTCTCCCCCATGAGAAAGAGGCTTCTGTTTTTCTACTCGGTTCCCGGGTCCCTGGAAAATCATTTCTGATTTCTCTCTTGCTGGTGTTTTGGAGCTGATGTTCTTCTTGGAGGTGGTGGAGGGGATAAATATTAGCTGACGTCATTTTCTTTTCATCCCTTTCAAGCCAAACTGGAAAAGTCTCTTGAGAAGAGATCCTCCATGGTCTCTCTTCTTTTTTAACATGTGTATTTTGTTAGAGATCTTAAAGAAGGTATGTAAACAAACCAACGAAAAGGGAAACAAGAAAAAAAAGGATAAAAAAGTAATACACGTGAGTAAACCATGTCTTCAGGGAGATTATGGTTTTCGAGTATATCATTAATTGATTGTGAATAACAATATATTATATTGTTTAAAACATCTGAAAATTGCTCTTAAGCTCCAAGCAAAGCATGAATATCAGGAACTATGGTTAGCACGGTTATGAAATGTGGGAGACCCCAGGACAGCCACGCTCTGGTCAAGAGATGATGATTCAGTGAAATATGAGTCATCTCCCCACACCCTTGGCTATCTCGATCCTACGTGAGTGCAACCCCAGCCCCACCACCCTTGAGAATTACACCGGAATATCTCCTGTTTCTCAGGAAATCTTGGCAGTCTATTTCCATTTATCAAACTGAGTTAGAACAGCAACTAAAAATACAGGAGAAATGTTTGGCCCAGAACTCATTCGAGCATCTCAGGTTTTCTTTAAAGCACATGAACATTCTTGTCTCTTTGCCTGAGTCTGCATGATGAATGACTCAGGGATATGTCCCAGAACTGGCCTTCATTTTATATTTATTTGGGAGATTTTCATCTAAACTCTTCCCCCAACTCTTTGGCAATGTGGTTCCCCATCTCCATAATCCTAAAAGCGGAAGGTGTTCTTG